GTCAATCAAAATTGTGTTCGTTTAACAGAGGTTCCTATTCTCGTGTAAATATGAACGGTGTCTCAAAAAAGAATTACGAAGGAAATCAAAAAGGTGAGACCAAGTTTGGCAAATGTTTATCATGTGGAAAACTTCATTCTCGTTATTATTGTACATTTCGTAATGCTAAATGTTTTAGATGTGGTAAGATAGGACACATTGAAGCAGTATGCAAAGCTACTGTTCATTTTGCCTCAAGTAGTACTAAAGCTTGTAATTTAGATTCCAATAATTCAGCTGATCCTAATGATCATTTATCTTTAACTACCATTTCAAAGGGTAATGCTCATATTCAAAAGCGACTATATACATCGCTTGGTTCATGTCATGACTTTATTGTGGACACAGGCAGTATAGAGTCCATTATTTCATTCAAGAACCTGAAATCGTTAGATCCGAACGTTGTGATACGACCCACTGATGTATCAATATTGGGGATTACTGGACACAAACTGCCTATACGAGGATGTTGTGAATTGCTAATAAGAGATGATAATTCCTCATATATACCTTGTGAATTTTTAGTTAGTGAAACAGGACTGTCAATACTGGGTTTAAAGAATTTGATAAGACTTAAAGTGGAGTTGTCTTTCCTAGTTTCTAAAGAAAATTCTGATGCTTTACTTGAAGATTTGATAGCCACGTGTTCTAAGTGCAATGGAAGTATGAAAATGGTTCAGCACGGGAGTGCCAAGCAAATTCAACATGTTGACTACATTTCTCGACAGTCATTAAATGCAGATATTTGTCGTACAGCAAAGAATTGCGAAAAGTGTCATAAGCTGAAAAATCAGCATTCGAGGTTGAGTGATTCTATTGCCGCCTCAACATTTAATGAGCTGGAGAGGGGAGTAGATACCTTTCTACTGCAATATAGAAATGCCAGACATCCGGTGACGAAAGAGACTCCATCAAAGCTATTAAAAGGAAGAATTCTTCGGTCGAATATGAGATGTTTGGAGTCTGCAGAAGTTACATATTATCGTGGCAATGAACTTCGACCATCCACGGGGATCGTTCAGAAGAATGTCGGGAAATCTATGGTGCGACTTCTAGATATCAATGACTTAAGTACACATAATCGACATGTTGATCAAATACAATTCCAAGAGCCAGGTGAGTCTGTTCCAATTTCGGTTGTTAATTCTAATACTAATGAGAGCATTCTAGATAATACAGAATCTTTATCCAATACACTGTCGGACAGACACAGGATGAATTTGAGAAGAAGACGTACCACTGATTACAGACATATACATTCCAATTTAAGCTGTGGCGGATGTGGTGTTTGAATGAACTAGTAACTTATTGTTGTTGTGAAATGCTTGATTTCGAATTCTAAATACAATACATTCGTTTGTGCATGTCTTAATTCTTGATACATATACTTCTAATTACTACAATAAAATACCAAAATGTCAACAGAAAGAGTCCGTCATGTCATGACAAAAATATATAAACGTGGAGGGATTTTCCAAAAAACGAAACATTCAAAAAGGATTCTACAAGGTCTAGCAACAGTTCTCGGATTAGCAACTAGTGCACTGTCATCGACAAGTGCTGACTTAAAACGGTCAGTGCTGACAATCTCGACGCGGCCATGTCGAGCAACCTTGAAGGTCTTTTCATGACAAGAAACCATGTAAAAAAGTCTTTCGTAAGGTTGTTGCAGAGGTTTGCGTACAGAATTGACTTGTGTGAAAACATGCGCAAAGGAAGATAACTCTGGAGTGAGAGTGACCTGTTGATACTGTACTCCAGTTCGCACTAGAGGCAGTGCTCGCATAGATTCAGACGATCGCTCGACGTTGTCTGGTTTATTGAAGTTATCACTGCTCTGTGGTGTAGAAAATTCGCCAGGCAGACACAACGTCGTGCCGTATACCATTGAATATCTGTCTTTAATCTCATTCTGATACCTAAGAGGACGAGCGGTAAGGTTTCGCACCAATTGCTGTTTTCGTGTGCTCGAAGAGCAATCGAACTGTTCAACTAAACCATTTGAAGCTGGGTGGTATGTGTTAGTGAGTAGGAGAGGAGAATAATTCGAACTCGAATTGTTGTCTTCGGTTAGTCGTGACATTGGAGCGACAACCGTAATGCGCTATGCATCGTTCTGCGTAGCAGTGGGAAACTGTTTCCGTCTTAATAGAAGTGATAGGAATAACTTCGGGCCACACAGGATAGTACCAGAGGTGGTAGCTAGTGGTACTTCCTGGCACTGAAGGGATGTAGATTGTTGTGCTTCTGTACAAGAGGGACCATTCACTTGGGCAGCGGCCATAGCGGGAAGATCGTGCACCGGTGAAGTAACTGCATTCACTTGAATATGTGGCAGAGCATCGGCAGCATAGTTCGACTGAACTTTAATGTGACGAAGGTCTCAGGTGAACTAAGAGATGTAATCCAAATGTCTGCATTCTTGTTGTGAGTAGCGGTCAGACTTGGTATTCACAGCGTACGTTAGAGGCTTATGATCGGTTAAAAGGATAGAGTTACGACCTTCTACTTCGTGCCAGAAATGTTTGATGGCACAGTAGGTTGCAAGCAGTTCGCGACCAAAAGCGCTAGAATTAGACAGTCGAGTGGCTAGACCTCCATCCATTGGACATTACCGAACACCTGGAACCGTACCGAAAGAACAAGAATCGAGCGCGAAGAAATCAAATTGGTTTAAACTAGCTCGTGAAAAAGATATTGGATTATTGGATATTGGATCTCTAAAAAAGCAGTACGAGCGGCATCGTTCAACTCTAATTTACGTGGGTTACTGCGAAGTAAGTCGATTAACGGTAATAACTGCTCTGCCGCTTGAGGAATGAAACGTCAGTAGAAGTTGACCAAACCGAGAAAAGCCTTCAGTTCCTCCAGTGAGGACGGTACAGTATACTCCATGTTTGTAGGTACTTTATCTTCACAATGTAGAATACCCTAGAATTTTATTTCTGCCTCGGTCTGTTCACACTTTTCTGGGTTAAATACTATTCCATTATCCGAAACGCGTTGGAATAAAAGTGTAAGATCCTGATAATCTTCATCAACGTTTGATGATGCGATTAGCAGATCATCAATACAGACGTGAAAAAAACCAGTCTCGTACTATGCTACTTATAAAACTTTGGAAAGTTTGGGCAGCAGTCCGTAATCCAAATGGCATTCGTAGGAACTCAAACAGACCGAAAGGAGTCGTGATAGCAGTTTTCTTGATATCTTCAAGAGCGACTGGGATCTGATGATATGTTCTTACCAGAACAATCTTGGAATATATATATATATATTACAACAGAGTAAATAGTAAGAAAAGTGGATAGAAAAATGGCAGATTCACCGTATTTGATGCATGTTCACAGTTGCGGCTCACCAATCATAATGAGTTGATATAAATATACGCCTTCGTAGGATTACCAAGTTAAATCCCGATAAATCCAGAAGTCAGAAAGAAGACTGTCCTAGATGATGAAGTATATTGATTGCTAGCCTCGTGATATTGAGATAATATGAAGACCAGAATAAAGGAGAGACTAACAATCACCGAGGAGAGATACAGAATGGGAATAACAAACTTGGCGCGCGAGAGACTGTCTCTAGTACAGTTAAACAAGAAAAGTACAATATAACAATTATTGTCAGAATTAAGTGTAATAATAAATGTTTCCATTTCAGCAATTGTGTTATCCTCATTAAAGTATATCACTACAAGATAAAAAAGCCGGCACTAAGAATTTCTTTATTTAAATCATTGGTAAAGTACTAGCTCGGTGTTACGTTGATGTAGGTTAGGATGTCACACCTTTTGTAAACCACGACCACCAACATAGGTCGCCTACATAACAAGCAACATCTAAGTCCAGAAACTCTTCTATTAAATATATTCCTCGACCAAGTTTACCATAATTCATGGGTGATTGGGTGTGCAGATATGTTTTGATGAATACAATCGATGCTGACCAGTTGTCTTAAGAGACGAGGAACATAATAACCTTAAACGTGATTTTTGGTGGCCCGTGATGACTCAGATATTTATAAACCATTGAATTTGCAACGAAATAAATCTCCCCTTCAGTTTCCATATATTAAAGATAGGCAAACCCTGTATATGCGTCGGTGATAATAAGAAGCTGAACACGGTTTTATGGATAAATGTATTTTGTGCAATCGTTCATACAGTATGATATTAAAACAAACCGCATCCATGCGAAACTCAGCAAAATGGAGAAGGCTATTGAGCAAACTCCTCGCGATGTAGCATGACTAAGTATTTATAATCAGATAAAATAATCTGGACATGCGTAAGCGAAGTAAGCAGCGCACACACATACTCGAGTGAAAACGACTAGCGACATGAGAAAATAATAGGCAACGTCGAAGGACGTGTAATAACTCAAGACTAATGGATTAACTAAATTTCCCAATGGCTGGGTCAAGCCTTTTGGGATCGACTTACATGAAACAGTACAGCTCGTTGACTGAGAGTCTTCAGCCAGGAGTGTACGAAGCAAAACTGATAGGATGAGAATCACTGTCAGAGGCGGAACTAAATATTTCAGCAATTTATTAACCGCTCTACAGCCGCTATTATACCTTCTATCATTACATATATCATTATGACTAACCAATATTCAATAATTCCGGCTTCTATAACTTTTATCAGTTTGTTAATGTTAGAATTTTATTTATTTGGAATTTTTGGATGAATCATTCATCTACTTATACGGAATGCTATTTTTCCTCCGTTGATTTGTATAATGATGTTATAATTTTTCATGCTGAAGTCAATATTCTGTCTGCTAATGCGACAAAGTAATCTAACCGTCCACGTTGAACTATATTAGAGACCAGGAGCCACACTAAAAAATCTAGAAACAAATGCAAGAAAATCCCCTAGTCATTTGAAACTGATAATAAAGGTTTTAGATATCAGATTTTTGTAAATTGTTTGTTTTATTTACCTATTGAGCGTCTGTCATCACGGCAACCAAATCAAACATTTTGATTTTGACAAGATGACTTCGAATCCCTTCCTCTTACCGAAGTTCGAGAATATATTTGAGTTGAGAGATACAGAGAAGGAAGAAAGACTCAAGGTTTTTGTATATAAATAAGTATTACACAGGATTTTAATAGAAGACTAGAGAACTTGCAAAGTTAAAAGTTCATCAGAAGGTCCAGTCTGAGAAAAAAATTAAATCAAGAAGGTCAATTCTAGAAGAACTGGGATCCGAAAACGAAGATGGAACCACAGATAATGATAACGTAGCTTTTATTCTGCAGAAAACGAAAAGTTTGTTCCGTTAAAACATTATCTTTGATCGAAAAAGGACAATTTGTTGACAGAGAAACAAGAGATCAATTTATTGCAAATAGAAGAGAAATGTTTTTTATCGAGTATTTAATCGTAGCTCAACGTTCGGAGCTGAAAAGACTGGAGGAATTGGCAGCGCACGAGGAACAAAAGCTTGAACTTGCGGAACAGTGTTTGGAACAAGACGCAGCTCTTTTCGACGAATTCCTCAAAGAAAACGATAAAAGCTCTGTAGAAGCAGTAGCTAAGTAAGTTTAAGCGTTCTGTGATGGTGGTATTTAATGGACTTTACTTCAGTGTATCTTTTTGGGCTCGTTACATTTAGTTACTTACTTACGCCTGTTACCCCTAACGGAGCATAGGCCACCATTTTTCTTCAGCTAACTATGTCCTGGGCTACCCTTTCTAGTTCTTTCCAGTTTTTGTTCATTCTTCTCATTTCTGTCTCCATTTCTCGGCGTAATGTGTTCCATGGCCTTCCTTTTTTCCTTTGACCTTGAGGGTTCCATGTGAGGGCCTGTCTTGTGTCTCAGTTGGGTGCTTTTCGCAATATGTGTCCTATGCACTTCCACCGTCTCTTCCCCATTTCCTCCTCTTTTGGAATCTGGTTTGTTCTCTCCCAAAGTAAGTTGTTGCTGATAGTGTCTAGCCAACGTATCCGAAGTATTTTGCGAAGACAAAACTGTTCATAAATACCTGTTTCTTTTGGATGATGGCTTTGGTAGTTCTCCAAGTTTCCGCTCCATACAGCAGAACTGTCTTGACATTTGTATTGAAAATCATGATCTTGGTGTTGATTGATATTTGTTTGGAGTCCCAGATATTTTTCAATTGTAGAAATACAGCCCTTGCATTTCAGTAAACAGCATAAGTTTCTCTTCACAGTTTAGAATACGCTATATCGTTATGGAGCAGTCAGATTAGGTAATTTTTGAGTGACGAGGTAGTTACCTTGGACTAAAAAAATAAGTAAATTTATTTTCTGGGTTCATGTAGCTAGTAGACATCCTACCATCATATTTTAGACATATTTATCAAGGTGGTCTGTTTACTGTTTTTTACTTTTTGCAAAACACCATTGCACTTTGCCTTTAAAAGTTTCGGATCTGTAAACCATAATTAAAGGAAACTTTGTAGGTTTCTGCTACTCTCACTTCTGTGTTGCTGTTCCCCTAAGACAATTTTCCCCCTAGTAAAATCGGAAAACGAACTGACTTTATGTAGCTTATTTTTGTGTATATAAAACAGTGAACATCGATTTAACGTTATGGTGGCGTTAAATAGAGATTAGTTTTTTAAAACTTAATAATTTATTGTTAATTAAATTTATTTAATTGTTTGAACTTTGAAATTTCAACAAAATTCTAAATTACACTAAATAAGGTTCCCACGATATGATTTTTTCACTGATATTTAGGAAATTTTCACCATAAATCACCTAAAAAGTAAGTCAATTGCACTATGTTAGTCCCGTATCTGAATAGATTAAGTTCTGTTATAAACGAAGTTATCAACCTGAATTACAGAGAAATCCCAGACGAAAAAGCGCTTGTCAAGTTTCACTAATTTTTAGACGATTTTATCCGTTTGATATTGGTTTGTGATGTAGCGTGTCTTACGCTCGTGTCATTTGTATAAACAGAAAAGAACGACTCCTGACAATGTTTTAAATAAGTAAATGAAGTACCAAATAATCGTGGTGGTTAACCTTCAAAAATTACCAGAAACTGATTTTCTGATCAAGCCACTTGTGCTTTTATTTCTGTTGTGACTTCAATAAAAAGTTTAAGCACCGATTTGAAATTCTGGCAAGTAAGACTTCAGGTTTTTTAACCTGAATACGTTTCATACAAGTACACTTAATTTCTTCAGTAGATATAGTAGAGTCTACCCGTGTCCTGTGATTCCTTAAAACTAATGGATCTGTTATGTCTATGCATTTTTCTCTTAGCTCTGAGCAAGAAGCTCGTAAACGTGCTATGATGGTTGATAAAATCAAACAGTTGACAATACATAAATCACAAATCAATGCAGAAATAACTAGACTAAAAGAAACTGTGAAGGATTATAAACATTTTAGGGAATTTCTTGAACGTTTAGTTCCAGAGCCATACTATTCACAAAGAAAGACAATTAGAGAAGATAAAAAACAACTCAAGCGCAAGCAGAAATTACAACTTCGAAGTGTAAATTCGAAACCATCAATAGGTAAATGTCAATTTACGTGCATACTATTTCTTTTACTGTGAGAATTGTAACCATGAGAATTGGAATGTAGTTTTAAGAGAAATTTGATTTGATTATAATCAGACAGTGGCTATTTACTAATATCTGTGAATCTAACCTATGATGCTGACATTAGTCTACATCACTAATTAAGAAACTTTCCGGAAATTACAGACAAGCACTTCCAATTATAGTCCTGAAATTCATTCGTAAGCTTGATTGCTTACATTGAAACTCTCCGTAAAATATTGGTCATTAGTTTTAGAACAATGCTGCTTTCAGGTTGTTGTGTTTACACTTCCTAACGGTTCAGTTAGGAGAAATACTATCTGAAAGGATTCTTCCAGTTAAGGAAGTTCCTCTCACTTTTGTTAAGAAACTAAAAGAAAGCAGGACCGTATTACCGGTCATTTTTGGTAAAGTCTCTGGCCACTGAGTCGCCCCATCTCTAGAACCCAAACTAGGGAGTCATGAAGGACCGACAGATGCCAGTCATGTACAGCATTCATTTCGCGACACTATCATACACTGACCACCTCTCCACCTTTTCCAAATAGTCTGATCCTTGGAAAACAATGAATGATTTCAGTCAGTCAGTCGAAGAAAATGTAGAACTTCGTACGTGTATATATCATTTCAAGTTGCCATACCACATTAGCACGGAGATGCGATCATCACTTGAAATCCCACAGGAGCAGAGGTAGTAGAAGTATTAGCAGTAATCGGAGAGATAAAAGTTTGACGATATTACGCAAGAAGTAGAATCTAGTGAAATAAATTACCCAAGAAAAAGATAAACGTGATAAAGAATTCTGAAAGTTAAGATTTGAGAGAACACAAAGCATAAACGCACCTGCGCCATTTCAAACGGTTTTGAGACATGTCATTCAGGGTCTCTAACCATCGGTTACTATCATCTCATGGACCCCAAATAGATAGTCTACACCTACAAAAATAACAAAGTCCACTGGTCAAATACTTCATGGGCTTGCGCTATGTATTGGTTCGGCCGCCTCTATCTCTTCCTCCCCATTAAAACACCATAAAACACAGCTCCTCTGGACAGTCGGTAGTTGGGTATAGGTAATATATTTCCCAACCACATTAACAAGATGAAGTTTCAATACTTCATCCATTGATCTGCCATCCTTAACTAGCACCCGTTTCCTGACAACAGCATTGTCTACTCGTCTGTCCCACGATACTCGGGCAATGCTTCGGAGACACCTATGATCGAAAATCAGTAACCTACGAATATCTTCTACTCTGACTGACCATGTTTCACAACCATAAAGTAGGACGGAGCAAACTGCTGCGCAGTACACTAATCCTTAAGTCAGCAAACGGATATCTCGCCTTCTCCATAAGTGACGCAAGTTGTCAAAATCCAATCGAACCTTCTGTATCCGTGCTGAGATTTCGTCAATCACAAGGCCATCAGCACTGATGAGACTCCCGAGATAAGTGAAGTGGTCAATACGCTCAACTACTTCACTCTCTATTATCACTAGTTCAGGTGCGAACGCAAGCCAATCTTGAAGCGACATTTTGACGGCGAGAACCGCATCTCGAACATGCATTATTACTTAGGGTAGTCAGAGGGCACTGCATTTTTTTAGCGTCTTCACCGAATAGAACTATGTCGTCGGTAGGATCTAAGTCAACCAGTGAATCTCCTGTCAGAAGGTCTACTCTTGAAATTTCAGACAAAGATAATGTTATACCTAGAAGCAGGTCTATGATAAAATTAAAAAAGATTGGGGAAAGTGGACACACACTGCCACAGAACCTCACGATCCAGAGAGTCAAATGCCACCTTTAGGTTCAGGAAGACAACTTATCGGACGACTAAATATGTGTGTGTTCCAAAACCTGTCGTAGTGTGAAGATGTGGTCTATACATCCACATCCAGGTCTGAAACCAGACTGGTTTTCTCGAGTCTGTTCTTCATGAGCTCTATTTAGGCGTCGAAGTATTATAGAAGCAAATAATTTTGACACTACATTAGTTTGACTGATTCCTCCGTGATTGTCGCCATAGGACTCTTGTCTTTTGTAATAGATTGAGACAATAAGTGATAGAGACTAGTTATATGGGATTACTCCCAGTTCCCAGATTCTGCCTAATATCTTAGTCAATCTAAAGGTTGAAACTGGATCAACGTACCAAATATTCTCAGGAGTTGACCCATTAGGTCCTGTCTATAGCCCTCTCAACCTCTTCAAGAGCCGGACTTACATTAACTGGCCATCCAGGTTGACTGGAGATCGTGGGTAATCGATGTGTGACTGAGGGCCAGTTGAAATGCTCCCTTAAGTGCTCTGCGGATCGATCCATGGTAGCCAGTGACTAAGAATCAGTACACACACCCTTTATCTTCACCATCCTGAAACCCATGTGCATGATCGCTTTGAAACCAAGATTTCACATTTAATTCCATTTAATTAACATTATGTCTACATTGATCTAACCGAGAAAAAAAACGTTTCATCTAGTTAGTCTAACAAAAGACTATTTGAAGAGAAAAACATTTGGGTCTTATTTTTCAGAAACTTCAGTTTCTCATTTAAAAGAGTAAATGTTCAAAGACTAATCATTATGGCTCTCAGTTTACTAACACAAGCAAATAAAATTAATAATATATTTAGTGGTCTCCGTTATATCAGTAAGTTTGATTTCAGATACTTAACTATCAATACACAGAAATGGTTGAGTCGAAAATTCGGTACTGTTTGCGCTGAAAAATAAACAGTATTGTGGCCTTTAAAATCTTATTTACTACTTAACATTTGAATATACGCTATTCAATGTTTTCGTGAATGATGTTCAAGTTAAAGAAGAAAATAACCAATTAACATGCTTCAAAAATGAGTTTACCGATCTTTTGAATTGAAGACTACTGTTTGTTTGATAACTACTTTTTGTTTTGTAAATCGGATATTTGTAGACTGACGATCGGAACTATGATTTACAAGTTTATAAGAATGGGTATATTCAGTTTTATTGAGAATGTTAATTCTACTGAACTGGATTCATTTTTGTTTAATATTAAAAACGTGAAATAATTTTTATTTGTTTAACTTTAACTTCAGCTAAATTAACTCATTAGGTATTTGAAATATAAGACTTGGTAGTTTCTTAAACAATCATTCTACTATCTATCTAAATTCAAATGATCACATTGTACACTGTTATACTGAAAGGATATCAACAAAGTAAAAAAAAAAAACGGTAAATAAAACTGTAATCAAAAAAAGAAGTGAGAATCGTTGAATTATTCGGTTTCCAATAATTAGCATAAAGTGAACAACAAAGTCATATGTACTAGCTACTTACTGATTTTCAGCTATGCTACCTATGGCCTGTTATAATGAAATACGATTATCTTGGGGATGAAAGCTATGAGATTGATTTCTTTTAACAAAACTTGAATTGATAGATAGCAAATTCATGGTTTTTATTGCAATTTATGTAATTTGACACAAATCATTACAAGGGCGAACTAGGGGCAAGATATATTTCAAGAAACCTGAACAATAATATTGATATTGCTATGAAATCCTATACGAAACTTCCTCTATGATCTAAATTCACCAACCGGCGGTGATCAGTTATGAACGGATCAGTCAACCTATTTAGATTTCAGCTACAGCTATAATAACAATGTTAGCATTCTTTTTCGATGACAAATAAATATTCAAGTCATCTTATCAAAATGAATTCGACATAATCATCAATTAATTTACCATCCTGAAATAGCATTAACAAGTAACTAGAAAATTCTGGCATTTATATATCAGTGTTATACAGTTTACTATTCATAACTCTGTTCAAGTGCCGTATGTTTAGAGCACTGAACAAAATATTTCATAATAATAAATTGGTATTTATCTTCTTAAAAGTGTTCCATTAAAAATTATTGATTCATGATATTATAAATTGGTTTTTTTTTATCATCAATTAATCTCTGACAATCGAACCAAGGCAGATGAATAGAAGCATTGTTTTCTACGACACAAGATTTGGATAATACTGTCCTCTAATACATCGATTAATCATCATAACCGGTTTGTTTTACAGCAAACGTAAATTACCAACTGATATAATTTGCACAGATGACTAAGCACTACTAAGTTTCTGCCAAATTGTAACATTCATCCTAATGTAAACTAATTATTTTGTTCATTTTGGTTCAGTGACCACCAGCCAGAGATTATCGGTTGCCTTTCGGCCTATATTGCGATTGTTATCTGGGAAGTCACAGTATTAAAGTTGAATATTTTGTTGTCAAGCTAGAATTTTGATTCCAAAACATATTTTTAATTAGTTGACCAGTTAGTATGTTGCCTTCTTCAATCTCATATGTGGGTTGTTTTATATGACGACATTTCTAGTGACGCAAACTCAACCATTTGAGCAATTTTGTGAATCACTAGTTTACCATGACATGTGTATTATCAACAAAATAATATATACTTCTTACATAGTCACACACATTTTTTAGAATGATAAATGTTTTCTAGTCATTTGAAGATCAATGATTTCTAAATGGCTTTCAGAAAGCTTTACTGTTACTTAAAAATTCTTAATTCTTTTTTTAAAAAAAGGAGCTTCAAATAAAAATCCAGTAAGAAGACCATCATTCATCATTACCAGACGATCATCATTGAAGCCAATATCAACTAAGTAAGTCGATATTTAAACACACATATAAAGAACAGATTACCAACGTATTAAAAATAATGAATTAATTATACTTTAATATGACTGATTTTACTGCAATATATGAATATGTCTACATTTGTATTAAGTCTTTTAATGACTAGAAGCCATTGAATGATACATTTTGCCCACTAATGATATTCAGCGAACACGTCTCGCTACAGTCAAGGTCATAGGCGAATAAATGACAAGGTCAGAATAGTGTGAATAATATCTGAAAAAGGATAAATTAATTGATTTGTACTAAGTAGTATTGCGATAAGAAAGCTATAAAAATCGATTCGCTTTACTACTTCCAAAGTGCCTTTTAGAGAACCCAATCGTTATTGTGATGAACTGGATCATACAAACCCAGTAACTGGTGACTGTGTTTTTATCGATGTATGAGAACTCACAATGATGTAGTTATATATCTCTACTTCACAAACGCTTGTTCAGAAATTACACAGAGAAAATTGTTACCTATGAACGGACGAGATAGAATCTAAGTGATTAACAAAACTGTCATATGGGTAGGTCCATCTGAGGTGTTAGTTTTTCAATTACAAAATGCAAAAAGCTTCAAACATCCCTGGAAAATAAATAATTCAAAAAGAAACATTACACGTATTGTAATTTTAATTGGCTTTTTTTCTTCTGTCAAAAAGTAATTCTATTTAGCACATGCCTTTTGAGTGAATCAGAATGAACAGAAATTCCTTTAAGATCACTTTCGAAATCTGATAATTAAGTAGTCATATTTAGGTCGTGCTCTCTTCGTTTGTTTACCTCACTTCCACCTTTACTTTTTATCGTTGAAGAAAGGCAATCTGAACGACTCAAATAAATTTGTAGTCAGTCATACTGTTGGGGATGTTAGATCCCCAGAACTCGCTTGATAAATGCCTTGTTTTGGTATTCACGTCTGCCGGCATGGGCTGATCAGTTGACCTTGAGATTTCATTTGGAAACCAGGAAAATCCATGGCTGTGATTGGCTGCTGTGTATTTTAGTGTGCTATTTTCGTAACTGTCCTAAGGATGTCTCTATAGAGTATAAATAAACGAGATTTGTGTGCTTGATTGTATTGTGATTGCTGGGTGTTTGTAGAATATACTTTCTACGCTTATCGAGTCTTCTGTTTTGCAGTTTGGGATTCAAGGTAGCCTACCTGAACGCTGGTAACTGTCTCGTTCGCGTTTATCGACTAAGGTGAACTCGTAATAGCTTCAAGCGTACCAAGTGACGAACATAACACATAAAGTTCAAAGGAATCACTTCTTCCTACAGCCAAAAATGAACATCGACAATAGCCTACCTTCAAATCAATCTTCATTAGCATTTAACCAAGTGGAATAATGCTTAGATATTGTTTATTCGCATTTGTCCCAACTTCCATTAGTTGTATGAAGTTCTATGATGGTTTTTGACCTCCTACTATTAAGCATAACTTTATAACTAAATAAATTATGCTCAGTTCTACATCTTTGTACGCAAACGTTATTTTACATTATCTTTTACACATTCTCAAAGATAAAAATAGATAATACTTTTGCATAAGTGATAAATGTTTTAGTTAAGTATCATTCCGAATTCCAGCAAGTTGTCTTTCTATATTTATAGAAGTTTGAATGGTTACCCATTCATTTCTAGTTTAGTAGTGAGTGTCAGATGTGTATAACGTGTACTTCTTAATTGATAATTTTTCTCACTCTATTAGAACATTGCCAGTTGAGTCGAAAGTTTCAAGACCGGTAACAATGTATGAAAGTTCAAGCAGTGAAGACAGTGTAGGTTTGTGCTGATTTTTTTCTCGAATTTTCTACTTACTCATCCAAGACATTTTTTTTTGATAAATTTAAATAATTTGCAATCGTGTGTGTGTGCGTGTGTTTGTTCATGCCACAAGATGAAATAACTACAGAAGATTGGCGAACAGTCAGTGGCTATCTAATTTTCACTAATGATTCTTTAATGCATTAGTCAACATTTATACAAGTTATACTTCAATATCCTGAATGATTTCCTACAAACATGTCAACATTCAATTATCAATCAAAACTAGAGAGTTGTTAAGTCCTACAACTTGTGTTAATTTAAAGTGTAGTGCAGTTATTTGTGACTTTGTGTTTTTTGTTATTATAGAATAGATACGTGATTTAAATGATATTAATTTAAATACTTCGTCGAAATAGAAATTCTTTATTAATAATTGAAACTTTAGTTAAGAACATATTAAAGTTTTAGATAAAGTAGATCGCTTGTTTGCCGAAGTAATTGAGACGTATTTGACATTGTAAAATGTGTGAAGAGAAATTTAGTAAGAACTGTGCAAACTCTGTGCTGTCTGTTTTTCCGTTCTGTCACACCTTTGGTATTAGATAAAACAAGAATTAGTATCATGACATTGGTTAAATTATTTCACTGTTTCTAAACTAAGATGTCAAGTCTTAAAGTACGACTATATCTTAATTTGAGATTTCTCATTACATACTACCTTGCACAGGGTGAAATTCAAAATTTCCACATTTTACAGTCAAGTTCACTATATCTAGAAATGTAGTGGTTTAAATGCAGTCATTTACTAACTTATCGAAATTCTCATCTAATTCTAGCATTCAATGGTCGTTTGACTCTAAATTGTAAATACTTACTGCTGAGAACAGAAATGCTTTTGATCATAAAATCTGACTGAAATTAAAATTTCGTGTTATTTGATTTCAAAATGAATACATTCTCATTTTTCATAGGATGAAGAAGTTTACTTTAAAGATCCAGCTCAAATATTGACTATTTTACGTGATTTAGAAGAGACAAACTTACGTTTATTTCAACATTGTCAGGAGTCAGATGGTTCAGTCGAAATATTACGCAATCAAGTGAATGAAACTGTGGATAATTAGTAAGCCATTTTGCAAATAAGTGTATGAAGAAAAAGAATATTACTAAATAAAATGAAATTCCCTTCAGCGTTTACATTACTAAAGGTAAACAGTACGTGTTGTCAAGGCAACAGTGTTAACCGAAGTCTTTTCAATAGATTATCATCACACCATCGGTGGTTAAGTGACCGTGCATAGTGAGGCACTTTATTTGAAGTCGTGCGATTTGAAAGTAATCAAAAAAGACTCTGATACCAGGCTTCGTTCTAACTGACCCTCCATTGTAAGGGGTATCTGCAGCCTTAAGAGAACAGATATCCCTTAATGAATTGCAACTCTATTTACAGAGACTGATCAACTAGGAATCACTTAAGAAAACATTCTTAATGGCAAAATGTACTCCATTAACTGATTTGTTAATGCTCTTAATGGCTGTTCTATATCTATGACTGTTTATACTGTTTGTTTTTTATTTTAGTGAAAAAGATATTCACATTTTAGCCCAACATCAAACATTTCTTAAAGACGCTATTAATTTAGAACAAAACAAAGCTCAGTATTTCGACTTAAGCATGAGGTTAGTTTCGAATTGAAATAAAATGGTATTCGGTCATTGTTAAATTTTCTCCTTTAGGTGAATATTTAATACTTGAATTGGTAAAATGGTTAATCCTTAATTTTTAACGGTTATCATTTATTAATGAAGGGGTTTCGTGAGATTAATTGAATTCATATGTGGTATCCGTCACAGACTGTGATATATAATAAGCCATTCAGAAGTGACCAAATGGGAAGGCCATTTGATTATTATTGGAAAGCATCTTAAAAGACATATATATCATCAGTCAAGAAATGTCTTCCTTTATATATATGTACGACTATTTTTACATATGATTTGTCGGCCAAACAGACTTTTTCTTCTGCTCTTGTCTTCTCTCTCAAGTAGCCAATCCGGGGGATTAGCACGTATCTAGGTCGGATCTCAGGACCCACACATCATAACAGAGTGAATTCACTTAAATAATTCAGATGGTTTACTGCAAACTAATGGAATTAAGAAACGCGCACAATTGGATAGGAACTCTGTCGTCTAGCGGTTAAGAGCTCGCTAAGAGGCAGGAAGGTTTTGTGTTTAATTCTTGGTCGTATACTGTTAGGAAATCCCATAATAAGGTAAGGAAGCGGTTCAATACATTGTGCTTTCTAATGATGACCTAGGTGTTATCACATATATCAACGATTCTAACTACAATACAACTGCTGCATCTATCAGCATAACAGAATGATGATATCAATGAATTTCATTACCAAATACAAATCCATTTTTAGCTCCACTAATAATTCTCAATTGAGATGCAAATTTAGAATGGATTATTTTATGAAGCTTGAAATTTTCATAATTATTTGTTGGTAAAAATAAAACAAGACAATCTAATATGTATTCTCTAATGTCAGTAAGATTGATATTTTTATTTCACAACGAAGAATCATTTAGTGGTACATCTTGATGGAAAGAAGAGATTTCCATTGATCTTGTCAAAAATATCATACAAAGAGAATTAGTTAATAAAAGCCAATACAGTAATTAGGGAAAAATAAATGATACTGAAACTCAAGAGGTAGTAACAAGTTCAGATATTTAACTTACTATCAGTCATATATATTATTTGATACTTAATAGATACCAGTTGTTGTTTTGAAATATAGTTGGTATAGTCGAGTTCAGTAAGGGTAAACAAAAAAGGTTGATAGTTGAGTACTTCAACTACATGGACAATAATTCAATGAGGTGAATCTATATATATCAAAAATAGCCGTGAAGGTGGAAAAATTAAATATTTCTCAAAATCCAAAAGTAAGAGATTTTCAAAAAGAAGTTTATATCTAGAAGTCTTGATCTTTATTTAGTAAAGCGCCTGATATAACTGCGTCAGAATGAAGGCCTAATAGATTATTTTACAAACTTCCATTTTCATCGGTGATTGATAATTTGCCGTGTAATAAATGATTCATAGATGTACCATTTGACTGAACGCTTTGTGCATAAATATCACTTTTGGCCTTACAAAACGCGTTAAGCCGGCTCGTCAAAGGTCTCATTTTCTGTAAATCGATTGATTCTTGACTAAATCATCCATGTAATCGCTTTAGTGAAGTGATAATTTTATCGTCAGGCAGTTCAGTGATGCCATTACGAAACAGAACATAAAATGAACGTTTTTTTTTGTTTTGGTTACAAAATAGTTGAATAGAACAAAAACCCAGAATTTCATGATAAGTTATGACTATATTATAAATATAAGAAGTGAATGATCGTTGCTTAATTTGGTTCACATCATAAACTGACTTCAGCTGATACAGCCGCTGGAAAAAAAACAGTGAGCAAAAACAACAACTTTGTGCCATCACTAAATCATTGAATGCTGACTCAAAATAGTCCATGGAAAAAGTCTTCACTAAGAAACCCGAAAAAATATCTTTAGTTTTGCTACACAGTTTGCTGTAGATAAATGTTGATGACGAGACGACTGTATATCGCTCATCGATTTTCAATGACTGTCTGGCTAAAGTTCACCTGTGATGTAAATTATCCTCACATTGTAAAATGTATATATAAATCTTAGACCTTCGTATAATGGTTATCATGTCAATTTTGAACTGTCAGTGTTTGGACCCGTTTACCACTTATTTCATCCGCCATCCTACTCTCATAATAGGAATTCTCTTCTAGGTTTTCGATGTACTGCGACTTGTTTTATTCTTAAATTAGTTGAGAAATAAGAACTTTATTGATATTCTTGAATTCGCTTTAAGAAAATTTTATTAAACGAATCTATTATCACATGCAGTATTAAATACAGTCAAGTCCACTTGAAATTTCACTTGCACTGATTACTGGCATACTTTCGTGCTCATGTGAGCGAAATGAATTCATGAGGAATGGTAATGACGATGAAGACAAAAATGTACTTTATTAGGCTTCCAACTTAATTCTGATAACCAAGAATGTCTATTTCAAATAACACTTCGTGCATATTTATCGTAAACTTCCAAATTTCACAGATTCTTAGTCATTACAATAATAACAAGTTGTATATATTTTAGGATCATGCACTACACTACTTACATCACTCATTTTGAATATAAGTAGCTCAACACAATAATTCATAATCATCTATTCTCTTTTTATTCTGAACTTGTTTTAGTGACTTTTTATTTGCCGGCTATAATGCAGAACAACAGAAGTTAATTTTAAAAGATCTAAATGAAATTATTACCGAAGTTTATGGCGATTTAATAAGAAAATCAGATACGCCGTTAAGGTATTGATCATTATCATTATTATTAATTTAGTATAATTAAAAAACAAGTCAGCAAAATAAACTTTACGAGAATATAATTTAATGAAGCTGTAAATTCGTATTTATAGTTAATTTACAGATAAAATTGTCTGTTTAAAAACTAGAAAGGAGGTTACATCATAATATCATGTGTCGAATAAAGCTTCTTTGTAAGGTGTTGTAAGGGATAATTGTCCATTTGACGAGTAAGTGAAGAGTCATGAATAAGCTAAAAACGTGAAAGTAATAACAACGAACAATTAAAACCAAGATCAGGAATACTAGACAGACTAAATAAAATCAAATTACCGTTCAGGAAAAGCAGGGCCATTGAAGAATGATAGTGCTAAAGTTTGAGAAGACGGATCACTAGCGCCTCTGTGATGCGTAAGTTATTAATTTGCTCTCCTTTCAAATCAAATCGTCTGACTGGATAGAAAATTTATGGGGCTTATCAAATGGAGCCATGTGACTAGAGTTCACGAGGTGTTCTAATACTGAACTATCAACTACATTTTGAAAGCAACTCAGGATAATTTTTGTAAAGTACTCGCTTTGAGCGGCCTATGTAACCTGTTCCACAAGAGCAAGTGAACTTATAATTATATACTGATGAGGCTTAATACGTGAGGTTGTCCCTAGTTCACGATTGATGGGGCGGCTGGAATAGGCGATAAAAATCTTGTCGGCATAAAAGATTCTTATCGAGGATTTCGTCAGACAAATTTTCAAAATTTCCAGAGCAGTATCTTATTTATACTCAATGTTCATGAAGACTTATTTCCCAGTAACTAACTGAATAGGGACATGAAGATTATAATTTAGGTTTGGTGTTTCACTCAACAACAACAAGTATTCAGCATGTGCGTTTTGAACACATGCGAATCGTATGTAAATCTCATTGATGATGTTAATTACAGTGAGACTACAGGTGGAGTTCAAACTCAATAACTGTTGATTTGAACGTAGACGCGTTATTAATTGATGTATTTGGCTCAGATTTCCACTACCCAATTCAAAGGGGATTTATTTTCTCATGGTTGAATTTAAGTACTATAATTGATCAATTGTCTCTGAGTATTCTAGCCTTTGTAAGAGTTCCGGCCAACTAAATTCAAACAGCTTGATGAAATTCCAAGTTTTTATAAACATACAAATCTATGCAAGATTAAATTGCATCATATTATATCATACATCATATTATTCACAAGATTTTGTTGCCAAATTTCCCTAGTATAAAATTCTCTATTACTTATTTTATTGCATTCGATTTATCGTCAATAACAGTGGTCAGAATATTTTCAATTCCTCTTCGGTTATTCCTACTAATTCTCAGGGACCTACCACATCATAAACTAATTCATGTAAGAAACAAATTTACGTGAATTAATTCCGTCATTGGTCAATTTTTTTTGATTTCCTGCTTTTTAGTTCATTACAGATGTTATTCGAAATCGAAATGAAATTGGTTGATTTACTTGAAACATTGCAAACGTTACCTCAAGATGAAGTTAACGAAGTAAAACAAGCTAAAGAAGCTGAACTTAGAAAACAAATTAAAGAGGAGAAATTGCATCAACAACGTTTATACCAAGAAGAACGTATACAAAAAGCATTAGAACGTGCTAAAGCTGAACCGAAGAAACAGGTGAAGAATGAATGAATATCTTAGATTATTATTATTGTTATTGCCAATATTTTGAGATGAATTTACACAGAGAGTTGTGTCACACGTGAAATGATTGAAAACAAGTATTTGGTTTCTTAGTCCGAGCCTTACAACCTGCATGTTCATGACCTTGAACATGATTAAACCAGATACCTTGAGGTCACTTACTTGACTAACATGATTTAATCCAAAAAAGGTGTCAGATTCCATTAATTTGAATCATTTAGACTTCATCTATTCGTGACAATGTTTTCATAGGACTGGTATATTTACAATGGCTGATTGATGCATGGTGACCAGTGCCATATTTGTATACTCATTTTTTCCTGATTGCATCTCGAATAGCTCAGTTGTGACGTATCGGACAGAGACACTGGGTGATGTATGTACGAGTCTTGTTAAAGCATCAGTTACACCAAAATTTCAGATAAACCTTGATGGTGAGTATCAACTATCACGATATATATATACCAAAGATTTCCAGATGACTGGTTCCAACCATGTGACATTGAACTATAGTGAACGGAATACTTACTACTTAGACTAGTAGCCATGTGGAAATTGAATCGGTATTATCTTATCTATGCTAAAAATATGTGGAAAATAACAATGGTTACTACTTTGCGGATCATTGAGTTTAAAATATTGCATTTGGCTACCGAATGCTGTTTTAGACATGTTGTGTACAATCATTGAATAATCTTAAAAAAAAATACTGGTTTCTTCATAGCAAAACAGACGTAATTATGCATTTCATCACATTGGAACGTGCACAGTGGCTCTGCATTTAATGCCTCTGTGAATGAAGTGGTTAGACTACTCGTGTCGTTTCCAAATATAATTAATAAGCGATAGAAGGAGAACTCCATATTCTGTTTATTAGCATTCAGCTAGTAAAGACTGTTCATTTCGATAATTTACATCTAGAGTTATCAGACTTACCATTGTTAGTTGTTGAAAAGAGTGGTCAGTCAAATTGTCAAATTAGCTGATTAACGATGTTATTCTTAGAATTATCTCCTACTTCTGTGAATACTTTCAAGGTGAATATTTCCTGTGAAAAAAATCCATTTCAGCAGTTGAGTGTTTACTGTTCTAACGCTTCAGTGACAATTCGTTTTTGGAAAGCAATTCAAGTCGTTATGCGTTTTCCCCTCTCTAGTTTCAGTGATATTATATCATTCTAAAGTGAATTTATATCATAGTAATGTTTATTTAGGACAAAATGGATTAACTTCACAACCTAGAGAAAATAGATCAAACAGAAACCAAAGGCAAAGAGTTGCAAATATCAATTACAACAAAAAATTTTAAACATTAAAAAACATTTTTGTTTAAAAAAAATACGAACAAAATTGTAGAATTAGACGTATGCATTGAAATTCAGTATAAAATTTCAGCAAAATGAAAAAAAAAACACTTGATCAAAACAACAAAAACATAACGATTAATTTTTTTCGATCATATCAATCAACTACTTAAATCTAAATCAGCATACCTTGACACTTTCACTACTTTATTACCTAATAAACTACCCTGTATATTGATCTACTCAGTACACAGTCGAATCTCTACACGATATCAATGCTGATGTTAGTAACTACTGGTAAAAATGGTTTTCGTGCAGAACAAGACGACCTGTGTTGTTAAACTGACTAACTGAATTTTATTTATTGTATTGTTTACTGTCGTCTTTTATTTATTCTCTATTTAAAGACTGGGCGTAAATTAATGACTCGATCACAACCTGCTGTTACACAAAAATCAGAAAGTGAAAAACTTGATGCAAAAGCGAAAGAAATGAAAGAATTGGCGTTTCTATTTGAATAAGATTATGATGCATGATGGGTTATTATTATTATTATTATTATTATTATTATTCAGAGACAAAAAAAAATTCAATGTCCACATTTAATTATTCCAAGAATTGGTTGATCTACTTTTAATTTCACTATATATATATATTTTTGTAACACGTCCCTTGATAGAATATTACTAAAAATTGATCTAGTGTCCTTTATTTCTTGAAATGGTTTCTTATTTTCAAAAAAAATTATAATACCACTCAATTCTGTATACACATTTAAATTTGTATAAACTTTTTATTGATAATTTGGTTGAAGAAAAAAAATAAAAGGTTTACCAACGTTCAGAATAATTAATCATGAAATGTTTCCTCAAACTGATTGCACTCAACTTTGACAAACAAATTAACACCTAGTACTCTAAACCATGCTTTCTGAGTTGAAAGTTCCTCTGTGTACACAAAGTTGTCATTTGATACAAATAAGTCAACAAGACATTAATTCATCCATCATTCGACTAGCATAGTTTTATTATTCAATCATTATAATGAATTCGTATTTATTTGAATTAAAACGAAGTATTTATAAAACTATTCAACTAAATTATATCAAAAGTGTTGGATTAGAATCTTCAAAAGAAAGTATTCAGGTTATTTATTGAATTTATTTGTGTAAATCTTATCCTGATAAAAGCTACTGATTTACTTATTATAGTAGAATAATGGATATAATACTAATGTAGATATGTTGTAAATATACATACTCAATCTGTTACACTAGCTTAGATAACACTTATCAACAAAGAAGGTTCGGTGAACACTAAATGTCAGATACAGTTTGATGCAATAAATACTTAAGCGAGAGTTCAAAATTGTATCCTTAGAATAATACTCAGTTGACCGGATGATGCCCAACTAATTACGGATGGTATGATAGAACATGCTTTTTTTTCAAGTGTTCTGACCTCTAACGCAGATAAAAGTTTACCATCAAATATTCATGGGACGATAAAAACTATCATCGGTTGTCACGTGGAATTTCATAAAAAGCTAGAAATGTTAAAAACACTTTTAGCAAGTTAAAAAAATATCGATTTGGAATTATCTTCAATCTCTGTCCACAAGCAGAAATCACTTACTACTGAATCAAAAGCATACTTCGGTTAAAAAACTGGCTTAGAAGTTGATGAGTTCAACGTACAAAGTGAGTTGAAAATAGTCATCATAGTGAGTTCACACGAAAGTCTAAAGTTTAATCTGTCAGAACTAACACATAACGGTATACCAATTTTTACTAAATCGCAGTGTATTGTGCCCATTTAAATAACAGTCCATAAGTCAGTAAACTATAACACAACATCGTACGTACATACATCAGTTCAGGTCGCCATACCACATTAACACACAGATGCAGTTGTCATTTCGAATCCCATGGTAGTAGAGGTAGTAGAAGTATCAGTAGTAATCGGAGAGTTTAGGGTTCGAAGATATGATTCGAGAAGTCGAATCTAGTGAAATAAACTTGAAAATAAAAAGATAAAGTGATGAGGAATTAAGAAGTTTAGGATTTGAGAGGACACAAAGAATGAATGCACATGTTGTTAGTTATTTTATAACTAATTGTAGTTATGTCATAACTAACCAATCAGATTGGTTAAGCGCTCACCACGTCATCTAGTCTGACTGATGTATAAACTTTCTTTGTTGTGAATGGTCCATCGATTGAAGGATGTTATCATTTTATTTATGCTGCTGTGACTCATGTTTTTTATTCATTTTCTAAAGACACGCTATACTGTCCGGTACGTTTGCTCATCCTGCTTGATAATTGTAATTTCCTTACTTATTGTACTAAATTAATCGTTTTCTTTTTGTTTAGAAACAGATAAAGTTTAAAACCGAATTGTCTTCTGTTAACTATAGTTTCACTGGGGACTCTGTCATCGGCGGTACTTGCGTCTACGTTTTTAGAATTACATCTGTAGGTCAAATTTAAATCCTACATAGTTTCGGACAGTATTTCATCAGAAGTTCATATACTAATTGCTTTCAAATGTCCACGGAGATTCTTAAAACTGATCAGATTCCTAAGTTGTCTCACTACCGCTCGGAAACTCACAGTGAAGACCAGTTTAGAAGAAATAGCTACTGAATAGATCCTTTGTTAGAGTTAGAATTAGCAAAAATACGTTTAGCTCATATAGAGAAGGAAATTGAGTTAGAACGCTTACGTCAAAAAGGAAGAGAATATCGTAAACAAGTTGTGGCCGTTTCCGAGAAGAAATCAAATTTGTTTATTGTGGAAAGTAACAGTGTGTACATGATAAAATGCAAATAAACCTGAATGGAACAAACCCTCCTCGCACTAAATCGACAGATCAGGATTTTTCTAGTTCTCCTTCTAATCATTATGTTTCTCACACAGAGGCTTCCGTTGCATCACTCAAAGCATCAAATGAATTAGCTAAGTCACCTGCCGTTCTATCAAGTTTTGCTATAGCTAAGAAAGACATTCCATCTGATTGTGTTCTCGGATCAAATATTTCATCAAGCGTTGTGAATGCTGATGTGTCGAAAGATGCTTCGGTTAATTTATGGACATCATCATCTACAAGTCATGATTCTGCTTCGTGTCCTTTTACTGCGTTGGCTAAAGTTGTTACAGCTTCTCAGACAGACTGTAAGGATTCGAAAAATCTAGAAGATTCTGCTAAGGAAGTAGTTGAAGATAAACGGGAAGAAACGTTAACTTTAGCGGAAGTCGACCTAGTTGCAGGTGAAAGAGAAATGCCAGTTATTCGACAGCATTGCCGAGCTCATAATTCCGATGCTAATAAACAGAGGTGTAATAATCTTGGACCTTTTCATTTCGAGTTAAATGATGTACACAACAACAGTGCTGAAAAGAATAAAGAATCTCTCTGCAGGTCACGGATAGTAGTACGTTTAGTGTATAAATGCAGACTGTTGATTAATACTCTCAGTTGGTTACAAATGCCTGCTGCTCTAGTTGACTCACGAACTTTGAGAATGGTTGCAATTAATGAGGTGGGTGGTTATGTAATGGCTACATGGCGCAACGACCTCCAATGTCTTGCTGAGGTTCTAGCCCATCGTCAGCGACATGGTACAAGAGCAGAGTATCGCATACGTTATATTTGGGATCGCGTTGTAGAATGGACACCCGTCAGCAAGTTACGCAAAGCAACTCAGTACGAAATCGATTATGTCTTAAAATTCTGTAAAGAGCAAGGTACACTATCCACAAATAAAATCCCTAGTAAATTTGATCTGCAGTATTCATGTAGTAGTAGCAATGATTCTGCATCAGGAACATCTCAAGCTAAAAGAATAAGGACAAATGTGTCAGAAAGCAAGTCAATAGACCGCACTTCGGATCCTGAAACACATCGCTATCGGTCACGTCCTACTCATGTAAGTACAAGTGGTTTCTCTGTCTTAGAAGACAAGAAGACTCTTCTTCCAAAATTATTTGATGAAATCATCCAACAGGATGGGATGGTTTGTGATAAGAGTGTTTTCCAGTTTCACGAAGCCTGTCGAAGACGTCGTGAATTGAAAAGACAAGCTATCGAAGAGAACTACACATGTCCATATAGATTCGACAGTTCTGTATCTGTTTTGAGTCAAACATTCACCATCAGGTCAAACCATCAGAACAGACGTGGTCTTAATTCAAAACATAATTCTATAAGAACCGAAAATTATGCAGCGGAAGCTACAGTAGCATCCTCACCGGTATCATCGAATTCATTTTGCCAGAAAAGTGATAAAATAAAGGGAACCATTACCCTATGCGGACCCAACGAGATGTGTAAACGAACGCTGGGAGTAGAGCGGAATATCCGAGCGGATGAATCATTTGTCAGAGTTCACGTGTTTCCTGGAAACCTGACCAGAAGGAATATTTTGTCGTTTATAGCATTAATCTTTGATCCCGGAGGAGGTATATGGAAACATATCATAAAGTCAACGAGAAGGAAGCCACAACATGGAGACTCACCGTTAGTAAACAATACTAGTTTGCTGAGAAATCTTTGGGTGGAAGCTATAGTTAGAGAAGTCAATTATGGTCCCGATGGCCGATTCAGAATGATTCGATTGAAGAGACACCGTAGACATCAACCGAGATATACGAAACCTATGCCTAATGGAAGAGGTCGATTATTCGAGCGCGTCGGCAACGAGGTCTGGACGTGGTGACCGCTTCGGGGGGAGTGTTAGTTATTTTATAACTAATTGTAGTTATGTCATAACTAACCAATCAGATTGGTTAAGCGCTCACCACGTCATCTAGTCTGACTGATGTATAAACTTTCTTTGTTGTGAATGGTCCATCGATTGAAGGATGTTATCATTTTATTTATGTTGCTGTGACTCATGTTTTTTATTCATTTTCTAAAGACACGCTATACTGTCCGGTACGTTTGCTCATCCTGCTTGATAATTGTAATTTCCTTACTTATTGTACTAAATTAATCGTTTTCTTTTTGTTTAGAAACAGATAAAGTTTAAAACCGAATTGTCTTCTGTTAACTATAGTTTCACTGGGGACTCTGTCATCGGCGGTACTTGCGTTTACGTTTTTAGAATTACATCTGTAGGTCAAATTTAAATCCTACACATGTGCCAATGTAAACGGTTTTGAGCCATGTAATTGAGGGTTTCTAACCATCGATTACTATCATCCCGCGGACCCTGACCAGGTAGTCGACACCTACCGACATGACTTAGTCCACTTGTCCGTGACTTCATTGATTTCTGCCATGTTTCAGTCTGTCCGCCTCTAGCTGTCTTCCAACCTACTCCTACACCATGAAACATCGCTCACCGAAGCAGTCTGCGGTTGGGCATACATAACACATATCCTAACCACCTCAACTGATGAAGTTTCAATAGTTTATCTGTTGATCTGCCATTCTTACTGAGTACCCTTTTCCTAACACCATCATTACTTACTCGGTTATCCCAGGATAAACGAGCAATGTTCCGAAGATAGATGATCACACAAAATAAACTTACA